GTTTGTTCTTGAACCCCGTGGGGACCTTCCATTGACTTCCATTCATTTTTTAGACTTTATATCCTAACCCTGACCATATACCCAAGAACTAACCTCACAGGACCCTAAAACTAACCTAAACCTTGGTCCTAAACCTAACCCCACACCTGGAACATGCATTTGGACCCGTGGGACCTGACAGTGGTCCCCACGATTCACTTCGGTCCCCACAAGGCTGCTTTTTTTGGTAAAAAAAATTCCCCATGTTGTAGGAAAAACCCGTCCACACACACACACACACCTGCAGCCAGAATTTACCCCATCGTGTGCAGAAGTGTCAGGGTGGAATAATTATACATCGTAGGACATCAATGATTAGCAATACTGGGTTCACAAGTTTGAACCTTCTTGAATTATTTTACATAATCCACATATTGTCAGGATCATGCTATCCCGGCTCAAATATGCAAGTAGAGGTCTCTGCAGTACATGTTGCTCTGTAGAGTCTGGTCTGACAGTGATGGTTTGATTGACTTGTCATGTGGGGCAACTTAAAATAGGAAGTAATGGTAATAGTGAAATAATGATTTATTGACTGTATGTACAGTTTAAAACAGAGCTGAAATAAAAATTATTGTGAAAATGTAAACATAATTTATTGACTTCAAATTTTGTGCAGCTAACACCTTCCTGTTTCAAGTTATAACTAAAATTAACATCTATATTTAAATAAATAAATGTGCTTCCTGACCAAACTACTCCCAGCTGCCCCCCAGCTTCTTTGAACCCCACCGTTAATCTGACCAATCACGTCTTGGGTTAACTCCTCCTACAAAATAAGAAACTCCTAGTGACTGCAGAGACCTTCTTCTCCACTAATATATAGTTAAATGTTTCTTTGCAAGTTCAAATGTTTTTTGTATCCATCAACAAGCTTCTGGAATAATTCTGGTTATATATAAAATATGGCCTCTCTTCTTGTCAAAATTGGTAGGGTTAATTTAAACTCCTTTCCTTTCAATGACCTGGCTTTTAAGTATTGTCTACAAATTTTAATAAGTTTGAATTCTAAAGAGTCAACTACATCACTGACATGTTGGAAAACAAATTCCTTGTTTTTATTTATTTATTTAAAATAAAAAATTGAAAGAAAATTGTTAAACGTGTTCGTTTACCGTTTCATGTGCTTGAAAATACAGAAACTACACCAGTACATGGAAACTGAATGTAAAAGAGTGCAAACAACCACACAGAGCGCTCTGGCTGAAGGCAGTTTTTATTCTCAGTCTGCGTTCAGGCCCCACTTTCCAGAAATCATTTCAATATATCAGAATCTTCAGGCCATGACTCCGCCTATCAGAAATAGCCCCCTACGGCAAAGAGTCATGTCCTTATATAATATTGTCTATCCTAATGAAGATCAATGGTTCAGTTATGTGTTAAATCTGTGTTCAGGCATGAATTTACATAAAATAATCAATTCAAGCAGAAATAACCACATTATAAAAAGATATAACTGTTCACTTAATAAAAAGCCTATACAATGTGTAGTGTGTTTCAGATCAGTAGATAAGCAAACCCCAATAAATTTCTTCAAAAGCATGAAAGTTGTAAATAAATCACTAAAAGCTCTAAATTAACGTCARGCTCCTGCTGAGTGTGTGTACATTTCTGACTTCATTTATATATCTACAAAGCTGCACACTTGTTTTGCTACAACTGTGTAGCAAAAAGCAATTTTCTTCGTATCGTTTAAGTGCTTTTTTCCCATCTGGTTGTCTCTTGGCATTCACTGTGGACGGCATAGTAAGAATTTCATTGCTCGTGGAAACATGTTTCGTCTGTGTATATGACAATAAACACTTTGAATCTTGTTCCCACTGACTGACAGGCACACCGGAGCAGCCAGGGCAGCGGTGGATAACTTAACCAAAAGTCTGGCTGTAGAGTGGGCGTCCTCGGGAGTCCGAATCAACGCGGTAGCACCTGTATGTACTCAGGATCAGTTTGGAAGTGTTTCAGTAATCCAGTCGTTTCTGATGAATACAGCTGTTTGGTTTCAGGGGACAATATTCTCCAAAACTGCGATGGAGAACTATAAAGAAATGGGACCACATTTGTTCAAGATGTCCATTCCATTTAGTCCTGCAAAGAGGCTGGGAGTACCAGAAGAGGTACGGTTTAATGACGCTCATACAGCGGATAAAATAAGTATTGAACACGTCAACATTTTTCTCAGTAAATATATTACTAGAGGTGCTAATGACATGAAATTTTCACCAGATGTTGGTAACAACCCAAGTGCTCCATATTGTACATACAAAGAAATCAAACCATAAATG